GCGCGATATGGTTCATGGGGTCACGAAGAGTCAGACACGACTTAACAACTGAACAACAACATCATGCTGAGGATTCTAAGAATATAACATTCACTTCTTTTTAAAGAAAAAATGCTTAAATATTACAACACACTATATTCAAGATTACTGCTATTTCAAAAGTAGAATGACAGCATAGATGTCACTTTACTCGATCTGGACCTACAGGAGCCTTTCTCAACTGGTATTCTATGCATATATTGGGCCATAATGCAATGATCATTGATTTCAATTGTTATTGAGTGTATGAGTTGAATGGATTTAGCTATTTTATTTTGGGGAGGGTGTGAGGAGTTTTATTTGTCATCCCCCCATGGAAAAGCAGCACACAAAAGAAAGGAAGTATAGTCAAACAAATCTGGAGGGCGCTAGGATGGAAAGAGATCAGAGTGGATTCAAATTCCCAGCGAACAAGTTTTTCTTGCAAGTCCTTAGGAAATGCATCACAGTGTATATGCAATCATGTAACAAATCCCTCTCACTTTGCACAAGCCAGATATTTATCAATAACTTTCAGAAAGGCCTTTCATCTCAATTTATAGATGCTTTGAGGTGGCATCTTACAAGATATTCTGATTGTTTGTCTTAAAGTTCCTCTTAAATTAAAAACCTGGAGTTCTAAATGAGTTAGTGGGCCATTCAATTCCAGATTTTTGCTCCAAGTCAGGGTGTCTTAACATATAATACTAACATCACATACCGATCCAACCCATGGAATCTGGCCTCAAGCATGTCACAATCATATAGAAAATACTATATATACTTGGTTCCATGACTAAGTAATTCAGACAAGCCCATGTACTCTAAGAAAAGCATAGTTACTCCAATACGCAGAAGAATGGAGACAACCAACAGGCCTTGTCCCTGGGTCATAAATGAAACAGCCAGGTTTTTAGTTAAGAAGTAGATGTGGCCCAAACTATGCAAAAGGCAGATAATAACAGCCCATCAACTAAAGATACAATTTTTTTGCCCTTTGTGCCCAGTTAACACAGGAAGCCTCCGTATAGACTTGCTATGAGCCCAAGGGTCACTCTTATATAGATTCAATTTGTACTTCAATTTAGATAGCTGAACTGATTATGTCAGCAGTTGCCAGCAGTTCAAACATTTTCTAAGTACATAAGCAATCTGAGCTAGTTATCAGTGAAATGCATAAAAAATCAATCATAGATGTGTCTTGCAGGAAATTCCAGTCACAACAGCTTTTTCCAGCTGCAACAATCAAAGAAAGCATCTTGGGGGTCTATCCAGATTATAATTCAGCATATGCAAATACTGGAAAATACCCTGTACTGCTCACATAGAAAAGAAAATATGATGGGGATAAGTATTAGTCCCAAGGCAGATGACAGCTTTTAAGTGACAGGCAGAATCAAATGCTACATTTAGACGACCAATACAGACAGAAAATTAAGTTCAGAATGAAGAGCAAGTAGGTTTTGGATAAAGTTTTGGCAAACACAACTTTCTAATGCTTGCACCCAGAATACAGTTTGGGGCTTTTTAACAGCAGAAGAGATGGCAAGCACAGTTCTCAGTGAGAAGTTTTAATTTACACTGCAAAGGGGTTCAGTGCAGCCTGAGAAGGCTGTAGAAACATCTTCTCCAAAAGTTAATCATCTTGCTCATGCTCCTGATAGCAAAATGACTACATGGAACATAAGCACTTAAATGGACCTTAGTTGAAAGTGCCACAGCTCCAAGGAAATGATGCAAGAGACAAAGCATGGGCAAAAAGTGGATGAATTTCATTCAAACAGACCACAATCTATAGAAGGAGGGGATAAACTCATCTTAGTATGCTCTGAACTAATATACAACTATTAATTCTGCATGCCTACATGTACATTACTCATGGATATATGAATGTCAATAAATTTTTGTATAGTTCACTAGGCATGCTATTTTTAAAATATAAAATTTAAGAACAAAATGTGCCAGGGAAAGCCAAAGCATCCAGTATCAAACTATTAAACAGCACACTACAGCTCTTGAATTCATTTCTCAATGTCAGGATGTTTTATCAACGGTATTTTGTGAATGACTTCTAGTACATAATTATGACTGAAACATCTCCAGAACTGTAAGGGAAAGGCTTCTGGATTGGCTAACACCATTGGGATTATCCAGGGAGGCATTTTTTACATCCCTCTCTGTCCCTGCTCTTTCATCCTAGATCACACTGGATGCAACTCACTGCCTGTGCTTCCTTTTCCACACATCTCTTATTTCAATTAACTCCCCCCCCCCC